GGGTTAAGGTTGTCATAGTTAGCGTTAGCATTTTTCCCATTGAAATGAATGAGCGGTCCCCATAAGGATATGTTTACCCTACATGTGCGTGCGTGTGTGAGTGTGTGTGTGTGTGTGTGTGTGTGTGTGTGTGTGTGTGTGCGCACGCACACGTGCGCATGCCCTATCCTGGGTTATTCCTTGCCTTGCGCCCATAGCTTCTAGGATAAGCCGTGGACCCCTGCATCAGACGGATGTCAGATGTATATCTGCACAGTTCATTACCAAAACCTCTAAATGCTGCAGGGACACCATTTGCATTTCAGGCTCATATAAAGTAAAATGTATTTTTAGGGTATAGTTTCTCTCTTTGATCATGTGATCAATGCCTGTTCAGTCTTCATGGGTGTATTATTGTCACCTGCATATGTACATTGAACAAGATCAGTGTGTCCATGTGGCAGCCCATTCTTTTGCTTCTAAATGTGTATGATCTTGTTTTTCATCGACATTAAATCATAAAGTTTGTTTTGTAATGGAAGTGTCTTTGTTTTTGTTGTTGTGTGTTCATTCTCTGTCATTTAATTATTAAAATAATTCCAATTCATTTGTTGAATAAATATTTGTGTCTTGTGCTGTTGTTTTTGTTGTTATTATTATTTTTACTAAATTATACTCTTTGAGAGCAGAGTGCTAGAATTATTTACAGTGCTGTTTCCATTACTGAAAAAAAATATAATAGTTCATAATCGTGATGTAAAGTATGGTAAAACATTACTAAAATTAGCAAGTAATATACTTCCTTAGTATACGGTATATACAGGATTTATGAATTATGCAATAATTATATAATCAATTATTAAACTCATTATTAAAATGAATCACATGTGTTGTTGTAAGAAGTTCTGAGAGTTTCTTGCTGAAACACTCCTGCAGAGTGCTGAGCCTCTTCATTACTCTTCTGCCTTTGGTGAGCAGGCAGCTCTTCTAGCAGAAAGCTGAGGCCTTTCAGTCACAGGCTCTGCGACTACGCGTGATCAGAATCTCTGCAGCCCGGAACTCCACATGGCGACAGGCCTTTGATCCGGGTCATTTTCATTGGCCGCTGCTGATTTCCAATTCTGTTGTAATAGGATGTAAAGAGGCTTTTTTTCTTTTGGACGTCCATTATATATTCAAGAGAGTATTTGGTGACAAGGCATCAGAAAAATCAAAAGTCTGTGTGCTGAAGCAGACATTCTCTCATAGCGATTGTTTTAAAACTCGTTCTGACAGTCATAACAAAAACAGACCTGGCTGAATTATTTCAATATGTGAAACAGAAATCAGAACTAAAAGTACTGACATGTTCAGTTATATTGTTCAAAACAAATAGGAATCATAAATACTTTTAAAGGTGCCATTTTGTTACATTATAATTCCAATTGAAGGTAGCAAAATTCGTGGTTTAATTTTAATTTTTTAACCAATCAGACTTACTGAACGGACAAAATTTAAAAAAAAAATATTTGTGTGGCAGTTAGTAAACTAGTGTGGATATTCTGTTTACTATAAGGATCATGGCAGAGACCCACCCGAACCGGTGCAGTTTGGGTCTAAGGGAATTTTCCTTTGGCCGTTAGAGAAACTGTAATCTCATGACATTTCTTGGAATTTGCTATTTATTCTCTTTACAACTTTATTAGATTAGAGATGGGGGGGGGGGGTTGTTCAGATTCTAATTACAACTAGATGGATATGCCATTTGTATACTTATGCTTATTGACAAATACATGAAAATGATTTTATGCACATATATCATGAACCCCTTGCCAAAAATAGGGCTTTGAAGGGAAAAAAACATTAGTAATTGGTCCAGGTTTTCATAACTCTAGTCATGATGAAATGAGAACTTTAAAATGCCTTTTCCATACTTTTTTCTCACTTGTCTTTCCCAGTTGTTGCATATTGGATCTACCTTTTCCAGGGCCCTAGGCAAAGCATTACTGGGGAAGCCACCCTACTGATGATCATTTCACTCTCTCTGCAATACAGACAGTTCAGGGTCACTAAGCAACTGCCAGCTTTGCCTATAGCTAGAGCCACCCATGTACAGTACTGTGCAAGTCTTAGGCAGTCAAAAAAAAATTAAATACCATTTATCAGGATAATAAGCACACAATTTAGCTTTAGAATGTATGCAAATTAAGGGTAACACAATAAAAACTACTAAAAATTTCAGTCACGCTTTACAATGTACATGCTTACATAATGCATCAATTAACCAGTATCTAAGTGTTAGTTACATGCTGATCCCATGCTTGTTCATCATTAATCAATCATGACAGTTACTATATTCCATTCAGGTACTATATTAGTTAACAGTTAACTAATTAGTTAATGATAAGACAACTTGAGGGGGGGAAACATTACTTATTAACTCATTTATTACTCAAAAACAAAACATCAGCTAATATCGGTTTCCCCCTGAAATACTTGAACTATAATGATTGATTAATGATGAATGAACATGGGATAAGTACTTAACAAACGCTCAATTACTGGTTAATTAATGCATTAAATAACCGTGTGCTACTACATTATTGGTGTCCCCTGAAGTAAACTAACGAAATTTCTTCTGTTCTCCAAAAAGTTATTGATATCTTGTTGGATGGCTTGATGAACACCATTTCCATTCCCATACCTCTCCTCAGGGGCACCTCAGCCATTCCATGTATTCATTAAATTTAACCATCAGCTCAATTAATTAACTTAATTAGTTTAAAATGTCAATGAGATATTGATTAGCTATACGAAGTGTGCTAGTGGTTGAATCAAACACTACATGGGTCTATTGTATGGTTGCTGGAAATACTGGGGTGACTTTAGCAAAGGTTTTGAAATGGCTAAGCTAACACACTTTGACAGTCATAATAGCACAGTTTTACACCAACATAAAGATCATTTAAACATATATATCATATATACAGTATTTATATATATATTATAATGACTTTAGACATCAATCGGACCCTTGGCTGCTTCCTAGTTTGGCGACGCCTGGCTCCAGCCCTGTATGCAAAGCCGACCTCAGCAAGAAAGCAGAAAAGCACATTCAGCTTTTGAGGTGCAGAATAATGAATAACAATGGCCTATCAGGGCTGAGTCGGTGACTTGCTTCATACCTCCAGCTTTCCATGCCCTGGGCTTTTTGGTGTGGGTGCATATCCTCCCCATGCCTTCATGGGTCACATTTGGGTGCTGAGGATCCCTCACGCCTGATAGCCCCCTGGAGCCACACTGTTTCCTTGCATGCTGTCTCTCCCTGGGAAATACCCTGACTGGCACCAGTTGCTTCCCAGCATGAGCTTCTGATTACTGTGACCTGTTGATTTTCTTTAAATAATATTGACAGATGGCTTGAGTGTTTATTTCCCGTAGTAGCCCCAGTGCCAGGCAGATCGATGGCACTTCCTCTGTGGAAATGCTGCCCATTATATTAGGCGGTGTGGCTCTTTCTGTCCCATTTGTATCTGGTAGCACATATCGATCAGCGCTGAGCACTGATCTTGCACTGGAGCTGCTTTGGGTGAATATTTAGACTGTAAATATGATACCAGCATCAGAACGTGTTTAGTGATACCAGCATCAGAACGTGTTTAGTGATACCAGCATCAGAACGTGTTTAGTGATACCAGCATCAGAACGTGTTTAGTGATA